AAATGCTGAGATATTTGCAAAACTCCGGACCACAGGTGTATGCAGTGGGGAACGAACACGCGCTGTTGTCCTTACCGGGAGCAGCGCACTTCACCACTACACCATCCGGACCCGGATGCGCTGCTCCCCGGTAAGGACAACAGCGCGTGTTCGTTCCCCACTGCATACACCTGTGGTCCGGAGTTTTGCAGATATCTCAGCATTTCATACGAGTTATATCTCACACCATACCCTGCCATTAAGAAGAAAAAGGCAGTAAATAAAAGAGTTAGGAAAGTGAGTTTTGTTAAAAGGTTATCCATCGTGAAATGAAATGCGTTACCTCGTACATACTTATGAACAACCTAAACTTATAGATTATAGATCGTTGTGGAGGTTGGTAAATTTTGTCAGTTGGATTAGTTGACGTTATTTTGTTCCGAAAATCATTAGAAAAAAGTTGGTGGCAAGCGTTCTGTTGCTGAGTGAGTTCTCCGTTCGACTTAGGTGTTAGATTATATAAAAGATAAATTTAAAGAGGTATAAAAATATTTAGCAGGAAAGGAACCTCGCAAAGGTATAGCATAGAAAAGTGCGAGTTTGGGTACAGGTTCATGATGATACTCAGTCAAAAATACAAACAGTTTCGTAATAATACATTCAAAAGTACCCTGAGATATAAGCAAAATCCCCGACCTTCAGCTGGGTTTCGAACCAGCAATTACCGTTTCCTGGAGCGCATGTTTTATCTATTGCACCAACCGAGGCGTTTGCTTTGCTTCTCTCAGCCATGTATTTGTATAAAGGTGCTATCAGCAATCACCCGTCAACGGGAGTGATTTGATGAGCACAATTTGGCACTGAACTCAGTTATGCAGAAACCACGGTCGAAATAGCAATATCTTAATTTGTATTTACTGTCCATTCTTTTTTATGGCAGGGGACTATGTGAAATATGCACGTAACACATAAACAATAGAAAAACAACCGACACAATTATGGCTGCTTCTTTTTTACACGGTGCTCTGCCATAAAAAGAATAGGCGGTAAGTAAAAGTTAAGGCATTGTAATTTCGTGATATTTTTCACGTTATTTACATTTCCATGATCAACTGAGGACATTTACTTCTATAAATTGTGGAGAAGCCCAACTGAAATTTGTTCATTAAGAAATTCTACCTGATTGAATCATAGCCGTTGGAAGTGCAACAAGTCCTCCACCGGCCAAGTCACCAACAACAAATAAACCGGTGACGAACCAGCTGAGACCTTTTGGATTGATGAACGCTTGTGACATCTCTGTCATCGAGTCCAGCACCGATGATCCTTTCACAGACGAACCATCTTTTCTCCTAAAGTTCAGAAATACACAGAGAAAGAGAGAGAGAGATTAACTAGTTCAATCTCACTACCTAAATCATTATAAAAATTTAAATCGGAGTTTTTTGCCTTTGTTAACGTAAGAGCAAAAACCGTCCTGAAGCAATAAATCGAAGGTGGTTACTAAATAGTTAGCTATTGCTGACATCTCTTGGACGTTTATATATCTAAGCTTTGTGTCGGTTGTAAACGATGAGCGAGCTGTAACGTGAAAATGTTGGGTAGTGCCTGCCACTCACGTTCGAAGTTAGTAGATTTCTTTTCATCATCAGTTTCCATGTTGTTTTCCTATTTAAGAATGTTAACATAAGTTTATATTCGTTTGAAATCAACAGATCTCATAAAATCTCCGATTTTCATGATATTATACGATCTCCTAAATTTTGTTTCTCAAGAATCATATCAAATTCTTCGTCTCTATGTCAACACTGAGCTTACGAGAAGTCAAATCTAACTTCCGTGCTTTTGACTTCGATAGATATACAAATAAAAAAGCGAGTTATCAAATTACAGGTAGCGAAAGGTACAGAAGTTGAGAGACCTCCAAAGTTAATGTAACGTTGATTCATCTACAGTTTTTATCTTACTTCAAACGCTATCTGATTTTTTGACGCTCTTATTGGTGCGTGAAACGTCTGTCAGTTACCATTGATTTAACCTTCGATTCTTTCAGGAATGCTACACTATCCTAGGAAAATAGGAAAATTCACAAAGAACTTACGATTTCATGGTAAGACCATTTTCTGTAGTGAGGACGTTAACATCAGGTTTCCAAGTCATCTCTGAAAGTGAGAACCATTAGAAACGCATTTTTTGCAGGATATGGAATTCAGCTGATAGAATGGTCTTGTCGAGACGACAGCATATAAGTGTGTTATCATTGGTCGGAGGAATACCACACGTTTCATTTTGACGTTATCGGGAAAGACGAGCGCTTAAGATGAGAAAAAATTTCTTAAGCTTCTTATATTACAGACACTGATCAAATTTGCTTAGTGAATGAATGAAAGAATAAGAAAGAGTGAAGAAAAAAGCACAAATAGTGAAAAAAGTCCACCAGCTGACGGAAGCGTGGTCTCGTCAACGATCTCTGAATGAAGTGCGACAATGTTTAAAAAACACGGGAACTTGTTTTTCATGGTTTAGAACACTTGTCGTCCATCTTTGATAACAAGCCTGTTTCCCCATTATACAGCGACATTATTTATTTTTATTCGTTTCTTTTCTGCCATTTAACTACTATCCATTTACAAATGCGGCCTTGCTAGCTATTACGGTAGAGTCATAAGCATTTTAGTTGAGTTTTAGTATTTGTGCCGTTTCTCTTTTTTACCTTCTATTTATTTTCTGATGGGGTGAGTGTAGCGCAGTGGTTGGGGGCACCCTGCAATTCACATGGGATCGATTCACGCGCTGAGGCTCACCAAACCCTCCATCTCTCCGGGTTCGGCAAATTGGAACCGGACGTGTCTGGGAAGATAGCAGAATTGACTCAATGCATCCGTCATTGTTTGCACCGCGAGTCATTGTAAAGGCCACATATGCATTCAATCACCTACAACGATGCTTAATGAAGTCGAATGCATGGCGCATCTCTCAGGGATCGATCAACGCTAAGAGCTTTATCCTTCATTCTTATTCTTTTTGTTTTTTTCACTTTCAGAGAATCCCAAATGATTTATTTATGTGGTTTGTTCGTATTTATATCTATATGAAACTGAAGTCCTACATAGTTATGGAAATGGCATGATAATCTTCATAGTGAAATGAATTACTGTAGCGTAGTTTTATTACATTTTCATAATAAATTCGAAACTTTTCACAGGGTGTCTAACTGAATATTAGCTAAGTAATTTTTACGTTTTCCGTATTTACGCTTATCGATTTTATTTCCATCTATCGCCATTGCGGTTTGACGGTTAGTTTTCTTTCAGGGTATTGCGACGCTCGAAGTGGAACACCGTCATGAACGATCTTAACGAACGAAAGAACTGAGTGAAAAAGTCGATCTGAGCTCAGCATAGGTCATGCAAAATATTTCAAATTCCATTTTCATTGTTATCGAGTTCTATTTTTCTAATGTTCTTAATAAATAAAAGATGAATAGCTACAACAACAGATAATACATCTAAAGGAGTTAAATAAAGCGAATGCAGGAATACAATCCATGTAATGATCCATTACTATTGGCAACAATATTAACAATTTTCCTACAAGCATTGAAGATTCATGTATTCATTCATATTTAGTATGGTAATTATTCACTGTAACACATCGCTGAGAGGAGCGTGTAACGTAGTAATCAGAGGGTGGATAGCACTATGCACTCGAATCCATCCATAGCATCCTAGAGGTGGTTGAATGCATATTTGGGCTATATAGTGACTTATAGAAGATTAAGTTCACCTCACAGGTGACAGGTGAACACATTGGCGAGAGGAGTGCGTAATGCAGTAGTCAGATGGTAGAATGCAATACAAACTTGATCGTTGGTCTGATCACGTGTGCCGATCAAACAAAACCTCCTATTCCTCCGGGGTCGAAAAATTGGTACCACATTTCTCTGGGAGGATAGATTAAACCTGACTGGACGCACCGATAAGCCTCCAGGAATCATCACATAGCCCAAATCTGCACTCAACCACCTATGGGGTGCTATGGATGGAGTCTAATTTTTCATGCTTTAACACACTTAGCGCAATGTGCTTCCTCACATTGATATGCTAATCTGAGGTTATTACAAGAATAAAGAAAATATATTGACAATCAAAGTTGATTCTCAAAAATGTAGTGACTTCAGTGTGAGCCATTTATAGCACGACTTTGCATTAATGCATCGATTAATGTGCGAGTTATGAGCAAATTACAGTTGAAATACGTAGTGAGTTAGTGCTTAGGAATGTTGTATATATATGATTAGGTACAGTAATAGATGTCGACAACATGGTAAATGAAGTGGTACATCGGTAGATGAGCAAACATCGATAAGCGAGCGTTTCATGAAAGATCACATTCATTTAATTTCTGTATACGACATTGAACTTGCTTACGATGAGAAGAAAAGTTTAAAACTTGAATAATAAAATATAAATCTTTAATAATGATCTTGTTCTGCTAACTTCCCATTTAATTTTCTTCCCCTTTTGTTTTTTCTTTCTACGTCGACCGTGATGCTTTATCTATGCATGGCTTCATTCTCTTTGAAATCGCCTATGAACATTAAAAATTCGCTTAATAGTGTTTTATGCAAGTATTAATGGAGTGTCGATAGATCGTTGCTATTTTTGGAAGCATTTGAGGCCTTCTGTTATCTACAAATGGCCAAATAAGATATGTTAGCATGGACTATGTAGTACTCTAAGGAATAACAGACTGGTTGAGTTGCGCTTATTGGTCGTTGTTCTTCTGTCTGAGATTTCTGGAAAAAACTCAAGGCAGCAGATTTCAAACGAAATATTTTGATTTTGGTTCGATTTCCATGGATTCTTTGGCATAAAGTGATCTAAGATGTAGTAATATTATGGAAAGAAAACATTTTTCGATTATCGCAGTGTTGCTCAAAAAGTCAATGAAGGGGAAGTATCTTCGAGAACATTTGCAAAACACTACGGTCCGAACTGGATTTTTTCTTCTCAATGATAAACTTATTATGTGAAACGGGATAGAAAGTGTTTAATGATATTCTGAAAACGGAATTTCAGAAAATAAGTCATTGTTTACTAGCGGCTGTTGGATAATCATAGAAGCACTGTTAGACTTTCACGCAGTAGATTTCTATACAATCCAACATTTAACTAACACGGTTGCCGTTCTCTGGTCGAACGGCATAAACTGGCGCCCATAGTTAACCGACAATACTGTAATCTCGACGTATGACGTTCGTTAATCTACAAATCCATACAGGTTCTTGCTAACATGGCGAATAAATGATGGGTAGGCCAGTGTCTAATTGGTAACGTCTGGATTCAGTTCGCAGTGAATTCGGCGACGAACATGATGTCGTGTGTAATTCTTTGCTCTAATGAGAACACTTCCTTGTGGTATTCTCAAAAATAAATTGCTTTATGTGTTCTGAAGAGAACGTTTGAGTTTTACACTAATGTAAAGCTTGCTAGCACGTTAGAAACTTTGTTTCACGACTGTTATACGTCGTGTGACTGTATAAACAAAATGAGTTTACAAAATACACAGCTATACTGGGAACTACTAAGTTAAAATCTCTACAAGAAATGATTGACAAGAATTAAAGAGTTTACCTCTAGAACACCTGAATTTGGTAATTAATGTTGAATAGAAATGATTGTGTCCGTAGTAGAGCTTAGAAAGTAAAGGATAACCGATTTTGTGCTAGCTCGTGAGAAGAGAGACGGTACACGTGAATTTTTTGTAGCCGACGAAATTGGTGCATACGTTGGCTGTACATACTTTTAAAAACGTAAATATGGTGGTATTGAGATTGTTAGGGTTTAGTAACATAAGGCTACTTTCGATATGGTATTAAACATTATGTTAACATGTAACAGGCAGCACATTACATTAGTATCATGAGGAGTAGATGGTGTTCCCTAGTGTCGAGCTACAATATTTCGCAAAAAGTTCATTTCGCGAACAACAGCATCATCTAATCTGAGGAAGAACGTAACATTTCTATGAAGTCGTAAAATTAACGCACTATAGAGGGTAGGGAACAGAATGTAGCTACCTTATCGCGAAGAACGGTAATAATAATGGACCTCGTAGTAAAAGTGTAATGTGTTTCATGTTTGCCGAGCAAACGACGAAGAACACTGGTCATCTATGATACACGACAGCAACGAAGGGAGGAGAGTATATACTACTACTCACTTGTGTTAATCCCTGATATTACCGGTAGAATCACCCTAAAATTAAGTCATTTATTGAGTATCGCAAAGAAACGACTACGGGAAACATTTCGATCTATTAGCTGTTGCTTAAGAACTTTTCGTACAACCACTAATACCACTTTTTCTTCCGTCAAAAATCGGGTACTGTTGTGCATATAATGCTCAAAAAGGCGACACTAACTTTCTTCTATATGAGGCTGTTTATTTTCAAATTGTTCACCAGGAGTTAAACGCCATTTCTGATTGGATCGGTTGGAGACAGCCAAATACCACCAGTTTCTTCCCAGATATGTGGCAGTAGCGTTTTGCCGAATCGATGCTAGCACACATCCGTGTATTCGTGAGTCCACGAACGAGCGGACGAACGGACGGATGGACGCACGCACGCACATACCCACACATGTATATTCATACATATATATATATATATATATATACAAAGACAAAAACACGCATTTATGTATATATATATAATAACATAAATACACGTGCGTATATATATGTAAATATATATATATATACATATATGCAGGAAGTATTTTTTCTGCTACAGCTTTGAACCAAAAATATCCTGATATTAACAAAAATGTTGAGTTTAAGGAGACTAAATAGCTGGATCAAAAAGGAAACAACTAATGAACTGATGTGCTTTCAACATTCTTTTTTATGAAGAATTCCTTCTTTTTTTTTCTCGAAGAACACTGTATTTTCCTATATCAATAATGATAAGAGACCAGAATACAGTGTTGCAAAAAAATGAAGGAAAATTCTCTGTAGCTGTCTGAATGTGCTGAATGCGAGTTGAAGTGGCAAATTGTTTGACCTGGTAGCGTCTTTCATTTCATACTGATCCCAGGAACCGAAGGTGATTAAATAAAAGGAAGTTTTATGAATAAGAAGTATAGAAACGAAGAG